ATTATCTCTATTTTACAGCTGAGGCAACTGAGGACCAAAGAGTTTAATACGCCTAGAGTCAGAAGCCTATAAGTTACTGAATGAGTATTCCAGATAAATTTGTCTGGTCCCCAAGTCCACGCTTTTCCTACTGTCCCATCGTGCCTCCCTTCTATTGGAATCTAACATCTGAACCCACACTTGTGCAGTAGCCTTTGCTCAGACTGTAGCTCTGTGACCCTTCTGCAGCATTGGACACTTTTTTCTAAATTACTCTCCTTGTTTGGCTTTATCCAACTTCTCTTGTAACCTTCCAAATCACATCTTCTGTCTCGATTTTTGGCCTTTCGTGGCCCTATGTGTTTTATCTTTTGTCTTTCATGCTGGCTCTAGGCTACTGAAAAGCAACATTAGTCCGTATGAGATTTGAATTGCAGATAGATGTACTCTATGAGTAAGGATTCAAAAGCTGCTCTTTGGGTGCTATGTGTTAAAATTTTTCAATGCATGCCCTCTGACCAAGACAGTTAACTTCTAGGAATGTACGCTGAGAGAAAACATACGTATATGCAAAGAAGTATAGAAAAGAATAATCTCTGTAGCATTATAACTAACAGCAAAACTTTAGAAATGGTCCAAATGTTAACCAATAGTGGCTAAGTTAAAGAATTTATGCTGCAGCTATATGTGAAACAATATGTCCTCTTTAAAAGATGAGAGTATAGATAATAAATACACATACATGGATAATATATACACATATATACAGATATCAAAAAATATCTATATTTAATGACATTGAAAAATCATAGTGTTCATGAAGCAACAGTGAATTATTCCATTAGCATATTTAAAACTAATCCGGCCGGGTGCGGTGGCTCACCCCTGTAATCCCAACACTTTGGGAGGCCGAGGTGGGCAGATCACGAGGTCAGGAGATCGAGACCATCCTGGCTAACATGGTGAAACCCCGTCTCTGCTAAAAATACAAAAAATTAGCTGGGCGTGGTGGTGGGTGCCTGTAGTCCCAGCTCCTCAGGAGGCTGAGGCAGGAGAATGGCATGAATCTGGGAGGCAGAGCTTGCAGTGAGCTGAGATTGCTCGTATATGCACTCCAGCAGGGGCGACAGAGCCAGACCCCGTCTCAAAAAAAAAAACAAAAAAAAAAAACAACCAAAAACAAAAATCCATACATAAAATGTCAACTAGGATGTAGAACTAGTTACTAAGTGTAAAAAGGTTGCTCGTCACCCTTCTCCACAGTCTCCTTCAGTGATTGCATCCATTTCCACAATCATCTTAATGCAAATCCTGTTCTGACCTCATGCCCATGTCCACCACTGGAGCATGCCCGGTAGACAGCTCCTTCTGGATGTCAGTGTTTTCAGTCATCTTTTTCCCTCCCAAATCTGCTCTCTCTGCTATTCCTATTAAAGGCATCACCCTTGTTTTTGTTCACACAGTCAACTAAAGCAAGGTCATTGCCTTCTTCCATCCTTCCATCTTCAGTTCTACATCCAATCAGTTACCAACTGTGATGGTTTATTTTATGTGTCAAATTGACTGGACCACGTAGTGCCCAGACATTTCGTTAAACATTATTATGGGTGTGTCTGTGCCGGTGTTTTCTCAGTTGAAGACCTGAATAGAACAAAAAGACTAAGTAAGGGCCGGGCACGGTGGCTCGCCTGTAATCCCAGCACTTTGGGAGGCCGAGGCGGGCAGATCACGAGGTCAGGAGATCGAGACCATCCTGGCTAACACGGTGAAACCCTGTCTCTACTAAAAATACAAAAAATTAGCCTGGCGTGGTGGCGGGCGCCTGTAGTCCCAGCTCCTCGCGAGGCTGAGGCAGGAGAATGGCATGAACCTGGGAGGCACAGCTTGCAGTGAGCCGAGATCTCGCCACTGCACTCCAGCCTGGGCAACAGAGCGAGACTCTGTCTCAAATAAATAAATAAATAAATAAATAAATAAATAAATAAATAAAAATTAGCTGAGCAAGGTGGCGTATGTCTGTAATCCCAGCTACTCAGGATGAGGCAGGAGAATCACTTGAACCTGGGAGGTGGAGGATAGGCACTCCAGCCTAAGCAAGACTCAGTCTCAAAAATAATTAATTAAACAATTAATTAAAAAAAAAAAAGACTGAGTAAGTGGGAACTGCTTCTGCCTCACTGCCTTTACCTGGGACATTGGTCTTTTTCGGCCTTCAGACTCAAACTGAACGTGACTCTTCCTGGGTCTTGAGTCTGTTGGTTTTCAAACTGGAACTTACACCTCTGGCTCTCCTGCGCCTCCAGCTTGCTGACTGTGGATCTTGGGGGCAGTCTCCATAATTGTGTGAGCCAGTTCCTTGTAAATGTCTCTCTCTCTCTCTCAATCTCTCTCTCTCTCTTAATCTCTCTTTCTTTCTCTCTCTCTCTCTCCCCCCCCCCCCCCCCCCCCCCCTCTTTTTTTTTTTTTTTCTCTCTCCCCCCCCCCCCCCCCCCCCCCTCTTTTCTGTTGGTACTGTTTCTCTGGAAAACACTGACTAACACACCAATCCTCCAGATTCTTCTCTTTGGCATGGTCAGCTCCTTCCTCTTTTCTATTTTGACTGACATTCACCTAGCTCAGGATATTCTTCCCTGTGGCTGGACCATCACCATAGATTCCTGATAGCTCCCTGTCTCCTGCATCTCTTGTTTTTCAGCCTTCATTCTCATCACTATACGGTTAACCTTCCAAAAGCCCAATTCTAATCACACAATTTTTAAAGTCTTCATTGTAAGAAAAACAATCCAAAATCCTTGGATAATGTTCAAAGTCCCCTATGATTCAGCCACAGCTAAGTTTTCCAGCCCTTTACCCTACTTCCCCTACTGTTAGGGTAACTGTACTATATATGTAATTTCCCTACATTAATGCGTTTGTTCACATTCTCCTCTAGCTAACCCCTAACCCTCCTCTGTCCTATAGTCACTGCCTATCCAAAATCTTATCCTTCATTGAGGTGTAGCTCAAATTTGATCTTCACTTAAAGCCTTTCACTGTATTCCTAAGGTGGAAGAGTCTCTTTCCTTCCTTTAAGTTCATAGGTTTTCTCTTCTATGTTTTCAAATTCTGGTTTGTATTATACTTATTTGTACACCTCTTCTTTTCCCTTATCCTGGAGGATGAAGGCTGTATCTATTTCATCTTTATATCCCCCAAGGCCTAATATAGTGCTTCTATTGTTCACCTAAATGAATAATAAATGAATATTCTCTCAAGTGAAATGAAATTTGAAAGTTAAACATGGCATGGAAACCTGACACAATACCTCATAATGATTTTAAAATACAAATAATACTTAGATTATCCATTTGTGGCAACTACCGAGAAAGTACTATTTTAAAAGCTGTCTGCAGTATGTGCAAGTGGCTGTAGGCAAGTATTTCTTAGTGCTACCTGTTAGTTAGAATCACCTAGAGAGTTTTCAAATACTACCCATGCCCAGTCCCACTCCAGACCAATCACATCAGAAGCTCTGAGGGTGAGTTCTGGGCACTAATTCTCTTTTAAACCTTCCCAGGTAATTCTAACATGCAGTCAGTTGAAAACTATGGCTGTAGAGCATGGCAGCTGCATTGATCTCAGTTTGTGTATTGGGATGGGCAGGAATGAACTTCCGATAAAGATACTTTAGTTGATCTTCGGTTGCACAAAGGCAAGGCAAGGCTTATTAAGCAACTGCAAAATGATGCCACTAACTAACATTTGTTGAGCACTTATTAATCCTTATGATACCCTATGAAGTAAGCACTGTTATTGGCTGCATTTTATAAGTGAGGTATCTAAGGCTCAGACAAGTACTGTAATTTACCCAGATGAGTAAGTAGAGTAGTCAAGATGTGAAGACATGAACCCAGATACACAGGCTTCAGAACAAGAGTACAGAAGATGTGAAACTCCAGTGACTTGGGAGTGTGTGGGTCAGTTGCCGGGGGGAGGTACATGTATGCACACATGTGTGTGGAGCTTTTTCTCTAAAGGCCAACCAAAGGGATTGGAGGGGCATGGGATTGGGGGTTGGAGAAGAAAAGGAAGCAAAAGACAACTCCAATATAAGAAAAGAGAGGCTTTGGAGACATGGTGGCTGACTGAGTCCAAGCAGAGAAAATGTCAATCAGGGACTCTCGGGAGACAGTAGAGTCCATGGGTTTTAGGACTCAGTAAATTATGCCAAGTCATAAAGTGTTCTTTTTCTGTCTTGTAAGTCCCTTATGATAATCCCCAGACTTCTGCTAAGTTGGGGAAGTGCCCACAGTGGGGTCGGAGCAGCAGAAGGGTGCTGGGCTCTCCATATGGTTTCTCCCTGAGGCCAAAGTGCTGGACACTGCTAGTCCAGAATCTCAGAGTGTCCGGTAGCCAAGCAAATGTGGAATGAGGAGCCAAACAATGAGAGCTAGGACAGGGTGGACTGAACAGAAAAGGTCCTGAGATCAAATCCCTTTCTCTCAAATATGACAGAAGTAGCAGCCTCTGAATGGAAGGGAAACTGGACCCCGTTCTCCAGAGACAGTGCCCATCTGGAGGGTCTCCTGTGCTGCACTGTGCCATTATCACTGAGACACAAATATAAACGGAAACTATAAATATGGGCTTGGGAGATGAGGTGGCTTGTTTCCAAGCCATACTCCACTCCAGTTCTCGAAGGCCTCACCAGAGAGATTCTTCTCATGTTTGAGTGGGTTTATATGCATGGTATGGTGGAAGGGTGTTTGGAGTCAAAAACCTCTACGATTGAACTGAAGATACATTTACCTTCTTTGGATCTCAGTTTCTCTATCTGTAAAATGGAAAAAAAATATTGACCTCACATGTTTACTGTGGAAATTAACTGAGAAGACCACAGAAGGCGGCTGGCACAGGATGTGAGCCTTGCAGGGGCTCCGCTGAGGTCACTTTACTTGCTTCCTTAGCCCTGGCCACCTAACCCTGCACCTACGCTAGGTCCCAATACTGCCAGGGATGACCCTTGGGAAGTCGGATCCTACCTTTGGTTAGGGAGTGAATCCCAAGCTTCACTTGGGAGAAGTTGCCACTTCCAATTTCCCCTCGAATTCGGTAGAAGCCTATCCGTTTCCCCAGAGTGATCTCCCTCACCACCTTCTCATCTTGGGACATGTCCTGTGTCAGTTTCTCGAAGGGCGTCAGCTGGCGGGGCTGTCCTTCCTCGCCCTCCTTGCTGCTCTCGATCTGACAGCCACTTTCTACGCTGTCGCGCCGATCCCACCGGGCATAGTGGGGGTTCACCAGGCCGCCTCCATTTGTATACACTGCAGTCATCGTCCACGGGGGCTCACGTCTCCATCTCAGCAAAGAGCCACCGATCAAGGGCAGGTTGTGCAGGAGCAGAAGAGGCTCAGAGGGTGGGAGATGCCAACTGAGGACAGCAGGTGCCCAGGGTTCAAGAGAGTTTTCCTGAGAGTTGAGCAGCCTCCCTCTTGGGTTTAGTGAGAGGAGGGCAGTGAACGTGGTAGCTGAGTCTGTCCAGCCCAGAGCTGCTCACCTCACTCAAGACATTTCCCACCTTCCCTCACATTGAACTTGCAAGCTCTAGCTGTACAATTAGGCACACGTTACATACCCACTGCCCTGATGGGACTCCAGGAACTTTGTGGCCAGATGTGGAGTCTGATGCTTTGTGGTAGGTGGCTGTGCCCCAGGACAAAGGCTTCTGTTTGCTATTCCCCTTGATGGCCAGAGAATCTTGCATTCTGATGTGTAAATGCCCCTGGGAGGACCTCAAGACCCTGCTGCGGGAGCTCATCTCTGAGCTTCATTTCGTGCTTCTCTTGCTGTCAAGCCGCAGGGCCCTGGAGACCTAATAATCTGGACCCCGGGAAAGAAGAAACTTGCAAATAAGCCTTCTGGTCACACAGGCAGCCAGAGAAGGATTTAATCCCTGCAATGTCACTTTAGCTGGCCTTTATTTAGATGAGCCTTCCTCTAAGCCGTGAGCTGTCTCGAAAATTTGGCTGGTTCAACCTAAGAATAAAGAGTAAGAAAATTATTAGCCTATGCTAATGTACTGTACAGGATTTATAATGAATGTGAAACTGCTTTGTGAGCATTGATCTAAAAGTACTCCACAAATTTAAATTATGACTCATATCAGTAGTAGATGCTTGATTACACGTGATCTAGTAAGAAGAAAAGAGTATATACACACACCTCTCAACCTACATTTTAGAAAAGCCCCTAGGGTCTGTACATATTTCCAGCAAAACAATTTTTCTATTTCTTAAAGTTTAAGAAAATATGCATATTGCCTTGTGTTGCTTTAAAACCAAATTTTAAAAGTAATATGATAGCAATGATGACAAACATTCTGGATTACTATTGGTTTTCAAAATTTCTCATATGTATTCAAATAGTAATATTTTATCTCCTTTACTACTTTCTGTTCTTGTACGACCTGTCCTATACTAGTTGCTTCCATTCTTTCTTTCTATGTCATTCTACGATAAAGGCTGATTTTTCCTCCTACGTTTACTTTTTGAATTTTTCTGAGCAGGTGTCAGTGTCTAGGCCCAGCACCTTCTTTTGAAGATGTGGAAAAGGAGGGTTTACGGCATTGCTGGTGATAAGAAATGCTGCCCAGCTACGATGTCTTCCGGATTTTTGTTCTGCACTCTCCAGCAGGAAATACTCTCTTCGTCTCTGAATTCCCACAGCACTTCGTGCATTTTCCAAAATGTCCCATCTCAATGAAGGTGGGAACTGGTTTTGACTCATATGTATGTCTTGCTCTTCTCCTCTCTCCTTCAAAATGGAGTATAAGTTCTTACATATAAAGGTGTTTACTAAGAAAATGTGTGTTAAACTTGATTTTTGGAGTTGAGCATTCCAAACCAAAAATTTGACTGAAAACGTGAGAGACTGCCTTGGATGTATGGATTTCCAACTCTGCTCAATAATATCACATTAGTACAATTAAGCATAAATAAGGTTTCCTAACTTTATACTTAAGGTTAAGTATGGGGTTGCCAAATAAACATAAATAAGGGAAGTAAAGAGGAGGTTGATGCCCAGTACTGCTCCTATTTCTGGATAGGGAGAAAGGAATCTGGAAGAAGGATGAAGAACATAGGCTTAAAAGGGACCAGGTATCAGTAACTAAGCACATCTCTAGGTTAGAGACTGATTAGGATGTTTTTTAAAAAACATTTTTAAGATAAAGGTCCCCTTAGCAGGGTGTGGTGGTATAACCCTTAGCAGGGTGTGTGCCTGTAGTCTCAGCTACACCTACAGACTGAGGTGGGAGGATGGCTTAAGCCCAGGAAGTAGAGGTTGCAGTGAGCTGACATCAAGCCACTGTACTCCAGCCTGGATGACAAAGCCGGACCCTGTCTCAAACAAAACAAAACAAAACAAAACAAAAAAGGTAAAGGTTCTTAATTAGAGTGAAGAAAATCTAAGTCACTGATTCTTCTTTATTTTCTTTACCGACGTCTACCTCCCAAAGTATGGGGATTACAGGTGTGAACCACTGTACTTAGCCAAAATCACTGATTCTTAATCATCCTGAGGTCACAGACTCCTTTGAGATGCTAACAAAACCTGTGACTCTATCCCCAGGGGAAAAAAATAATCCTCACCCATACAATTTGCATCCGATTTTAAGATGACATTCTGAAACCTATCAGGTTAAGAATCTCTGTGAAGGCCAAGTGGCACTAGATCTCCCCAGATTCCTGGCAGAAGAACACCATGCAGCTTATGACAGACTAGAATGAAGTAGTAATTCTGCAAGAAACTTTAGCTTAACCTAAGGCAAAAGAAAATATGGATTTTCCATAGAATGCAGTACTTGATCACTTTGTGTTCTAACAGACTCTGTGAAGAACTTACTGGCTTTGTGTCCTCATTACCATGCTGTGCTTGTCACTAATGTACTTGGACCACAACTACAAAAGCACCAGGAGGGCTCCGGGTACAGTGGCTCACACCTGTAATTCCAACACTTTGGGAGCCCAAGGCGGGTGGATCACCTGAGGTCAGGAGTTTGAGACCAGCCTGGACAACATGGAGAAACCCTATCTGTACTAAAAATATATAAATTATCCGGGCATGTTGGCACACACCTGTAATCCCAGCTACTCGAGAGGCTGAGGCAGGAGAATTGCTGGAACCCGGGAGGCAGAAGTTGCAGTGAGCTGAGATCGTGCCATTGCACTCCAGTCTGGGCAACAAGAGTGAAACTCTGTCTCAAAAAAAAAAAAAAAAAAAAGGCACCAGGTGAGCAGGAACCTGTGCTTTACTCTTCCCTCTGTCTCTGGGAGTTCTGCACAGTAGCTGATAAAAGTTTGTTGAAGAAGGAATGAACTAATTTACCAACTAACCCACCATTACACTTAGGTATGAGTTAGTAGAGGCAAATATTTTTATTTTTTAACTACTAACACTATCCCAGAATTTAATCATCTCAGACAGCTTATTTCAGTCCCCATTTCTAAGATTTGGGCTACCCTTTACTAGCTATTAGAATTCCTGGCCCCATCTTCTTGTGGAGGTAAAAGCTTAGTCCAAAGTCCATCATCCCCCTAAGAATTGTGACACAACTGCTTAGAAATGCAAGTCTCCCCCATCCCTGCCACTTTGGAAGAATCAGCTCCCCACAGGCGCCCAGGCCTCCTGCCTCCCTCTGCACCTGCTCCCCTCCATCTCCTGCCCAGCTGCTGGTTCAGGGCTTTTTCTCTGCTTTCCTGTTCCCCAACTTTCCTGATTTGGGCTCTATATCCTGAGCTCTATTCAGGGCCTGGGATTTACAGTAGAGTTTGAGACTTCAGGTGCCTCCCCGGAATTCCTCTCCCTCCCTTCCCAATTCAACAGAGAGGGAGGGCTCAGATACAATCGCCAAATATGATCAGTCTCTGTCTTGAATCACGTACCCTACACCTACAAATGAAACTTCTTGCAAAACGGTCTTGAACCAATTGTCTTGCCTTAGTGGTCGAGGAGACAGTTAATCTTCCATTTAGATCAGATAAAGTGTTTTTGTTACACTTTTACAGATGTTGCTGTGGTTTGCCTTGAGGATGAATTGCAACTTGGGACAGCTAGCAAACCAATTGGGGGAAAAGCCAAACGCCTATCTCACTCCTACTTCAAAATAAGTTCCAAATAAATCATCTAAGTAAATGTAAAATAAACAAAAAAATGAAATACTAGAAAAAAATCAGAATTTTTTTTATGATCTCAGCGAAGGCCATAAAAGAAAACATTGAATTTGACTACATAAAGCTGTAAGTTTCTGTTTGCCCAAAAGTATCAAAAACAAAAAGGCAAAAATCAAATGATAACCTTATAGGGAAAAATTTCCAACAAATATAATAAACAAATAAAAAATAAACAATTTTCTAAATAAAGAATTTTACAAATTGATTTTTAAAATACCAATATCCAGCCAGGCGCGGTGGCTCGCACCTGTAATCCCAGCACTTTGGGAGGCTGAGGTGGGGGATCACGAAGTCAAGAGATTGAAACCACCCTGGCCAACACAGTGAAACCTCATCTCTACTAAAAATACAAAATATTATATTTTGGGCGTGGTGGTGCACACCTGTAGTCCCAGCTACTCAGGAGGCTGAGGCAGGAGAATCACTTGAACCCAGGAGGCGGAGGCAAGACAGTGCCAAATGCCAAGATAGCACAACTGCACTCCAACCTAAAGGCAGAGCGAGACTCCGTCTCAAAAAAAAGAAAAGAAAAATACCAATATCCTCCCAAAAAAGAAAAATGATAAAGAACATGAGCAGACATTTCACAGAAAATACAAATGATTCCATAATATATAAAAATATACTCAACCCTATAATTAAAGAAATACCCATAAACTACACTGAAACTAGATTTTTCACATATTAAATTTGAAAGCTGCAAAACGAATTTTGATAGTGCACTAGTGAGAGATAGTATGGGGAAACAGGAATTCTCATTCATTGTTACTGGAAGTATAAATTGGTACAATTGCTTGGAAGGAAATTTGGCTATAACTATTAATTACAAGTGTATGTGTTCTTTGCTTCAACAATTCTACTTCTAGAATTTTTCTTTGCACACATATGCAAAGATGTGTATTTCTGACATAAAGATGGATGTGAAAAAGAATGAGTTACAGTATCCAAGATATACGGTTAAGAGGTGGGAAGAGTGTGTATAAAATGATAATCAGGAGTGTAAGAAAGGGCCAGTCACGGTGGCTCATGGCTGTAATACCAGCACTTTGGGAGGCTGAGGTGGGTGGATCATTTGAGCTCAGGAGTTTGAGACTAACCTGACCAACATGGTGAAACCCCGTTTCCACTAAAAATACAAAGAAATTAGCTGGGCATGGTGGCACACACCTGTAATCCCAGCTACTGGGGCAGGAGAATCGCTTGAGCCCAGGAGGCGGAGGTTGCAGTGAGCCAAGATCACGCCACTGCACTCCAGCCTGGGCGACAGAGACTCCATCTCAAAAAAAAAAAAAAAAAAAAAAAAAAGGGGTAAGACAGCGGAGGGAATCCCTAAAAACAGGTAGAGTTATTGCATTTGGTGAAGGGACTTGTTGGACAGGGGAATGGAGTGGAAAAAATCATATACTTTTTACTGCTTACTTTTTCATATGATTTACATTTTTTTCATGTGCGTATATTTACCTTTAAAAAGTAAACAGGCTGGGTGTGGTGGCTCACGCCTATAATCCCAGCACTTTGGGAAGCCGAGATGGGAGAATGGCTTGAGTCCAGGAGCTCAAGACCAGTCTGGGCAACACAGTGAGACCCCATCTCTCCAAAAAAAAAAAAACAAAGAATATTAGCTGAGTGGCACACACCTATAGTCCCAGGTACTCAAGAGGCCAAAGTGGGAGAATCACTTGAACCTGGGAAGTCAAGACTGCAGTGAGCCAAGATCACACCACTGCACTTCAGCCTAGGCAACAGAGCAAGACTCTGTCTCAAAGAAGAAAGAAAAAAAGAAAAGAAAAAGGAAGCAATTAAAAACATTTAATGTGTTGCCCCTTACAAAGTTGGTGTACAATAAGTTTGCTTTACTTTTGGTTACACAGGGAAATTATCATACCTGATTCTCTAATATCTAATGGATTGCTTTTAAAATAAAAAGATAATTCAGGACTTCTGGTGAAATATAAATTTAATGATCTCATTTATTTCTACTTTATTCCAAAAACCAAAAATCCTAAAAATGACAAAATAAGAGGAGGAAAGGTACAAACCCATGAGGATAAAAAGAATAAGAGAGGAGGCCAGGCACGGTGGATCACCTGTCAGGAGTTCAAGACCAGCCTGACCAACATGGTGAAACCCCGTCTCTACTAAAAATACAAAAAATTAGCCGAGAATGTGGCGCACGCTTGTAATTCCAGCTACTTAGAAGGCTGAGGCAGGAGAATCACTTGAACCCAGGAGGCAGAGGTTGTGGTGAGCCAAGATTGCGCCATTGTACTCTAGCCTGGGCAACAAGAGTGAAATTCCATCTCAAAAAAAAAAAAAGCCAGGCGCAGTGGCTCATGCCTGTAATCCCAACACTTTGTGAGGCCGAGGCAGACGGATCATGAGGTCAGGAGTTCGAGACCAGCTTGGCCAACACAGTGAAACTCCGACTCTACTAAAAATACAAAAAAATTAGCCCGGCACGGTGGCGGGCGCCTGTAATTCCAGCTACTCAGAAGGCTGAGGCAGGAGAATCGCTTGAACCCGGGAAGTGGAGGTTGTAGTGAGCCAAGACTGTGCCATTGCACTCCAGCCTGGGCAACAAGAGTGAAACTCCAACTTAAAAAAATAAATAAATAAAAATAAGAGATGAGATAGCAGCAGAGAAATGTCAGTACGTTTTGGGGGAGATGGAGAGATGGAAAGAAAATTAGTGATAAGCAATTTGGCAAAGACAAGGAAGAAAACTGCAACCTAAATTCATACATAAGGGCATACCAATGAGATTCACCTTTCTGAGTGCTCAAAAAGGCTTCAAACTATAAGAGACCAAGTACCTCAAAGGTTAGAGGAATAAAGCAGGATCAAAATCATGGAAATTGTTTGAAGGTAGAGCAGTGAGACCCTCCCCCCCACCCCCACCAGCCTTTCCCTCCTCAAAGATAGGTTGTTACTTTCTCTACCCCACCCCAGCTCAGGAACACAAGGCACAGGTCAGATGATTAGGCAAAAGTCTGTGTTGTAGAATCCCTCATTCTCTTCTTCTTGCACTCTTGGTTTCCAGAATGGAGGAAAACAAGCATAAAAACCTCGAGGCTGGCTACTCCTCTTTTGGATAGACTAACTCAAGAGAAAAGACTTTCTGAAACCTATGTTTGAAAGTTCTCCATCAAAAAAGCCACATAGCCATCTACGGCACAATCCTCCAGGTGCCAGTTTCATGCACACGCAGGGAGCTTCCAACCAAGTTTCAGTGCCTTCTGCTTAGAATGAATGAATGAATAAATGTTCAGTCAAGAGGCATGAGACATCTGAGGAAAGGCTTCAAAATGAGAGAAAGAAACCCTGCTCAACCTAAACAACAACCTCTACAACAAAAAGGAACTTGAAGGAAATGGAGAGCCATGAGGAAGCAGAAGATAAAAGATAAGGTATTGGATCCATAAAACCAGAACAAATGCTAAAAAAAAAAAAAAAAAAAAAAAAAATTTAAGGACAATTCAGACCACAAGAAAGAGCTGTAGAGCTGTCTTGGAAATTAAAGAATTAAATTGAAGAATTGTGAAAGAAAAATCTAGAAAAGATAAGCAATATAGAAGACACGAAAACTGGGTAATCAATTCAGAAAGTCCAACATCTAATTATTAGAATTTCCCATTACGCTATTATGCTCCCAATAAAGTAAAACATATTGTTTCTATTGTACCTGAATTGCCAGCGAATCTCAGAAATTTAAAAAATAGTACAGTGAGAAAAAACTCTGAATTCTCACACATTCTAATGAAATAAAAAAGTAGAAGGAAAAAAGCTAAAAGAAAAGATAAATCCTGTTTGGGTGTGTGCATCTATGGGTATTTAAAAATTCATTCTTATTTTGCATAATTTTTTTCCTAGAGATTTTCCTTAGAAATCTAGAAATAGGAGTTCTGAGCACAGGTTGTGGGGTTGCTCTAAATAGTATATATTTTTGACTACTTTCTAGTAGAGTCCAAAACATCAAGCTTCATCATGTTAAAAGCAAAGCAAATAATGGAAGTGATCACACGTACCTAACTGAAAACCAAATTTCAGATGTAAGTAAGTTTTTTGTTGTTGTTCTTTTGCCTTTTGCCCTTTAGATTTTGTCCGATTTTTATGGACATTAATGAGAGCTTAGAAACTCAACCAGACCAAATTATGGAGTCACATCACTGCAGATCAAAGCCTCTGGAGGAGGTAAAATGGTCCTTAATTGTTAGCTTGCTGTTGCTATATAGCAATCCTTTAAATAAGATGAAAGAAAATAGAGCTTACTTGGTAATTCATTTTCTTGACTTATAACCCACTGTAAAAATAGTATCAATGAAAACCATCTCACCTTTGTTCTCTCAGTCTGAGTTTAACTGATAAAACTTCTGGGCAAGGCTCTTAGGCAACCTTTTCATTGGTTGGCAAGGTCAGGCATTGGTTTCCTTGAAAGAAAAGCTGGGTTTTCTCTGTGTGTGGCAACAAGGTTCAAGACAGCCAGTCCTCAGTTATAATCCTTCTTGGGCAGGTGCACCTTCAGGGAGAATAATTAGCAAATTAATCTCATTTGAAAGTTTATTTTACCATTTTGAAATCATTTGCATCATCTTTGCTTTTACCTCAGCTCTTTATTTCTCAACACACATGTCAAGATTACCATGCGGTGCAGTGGGGGAAATTCCAAAGCAAATGGAAAAGCAGTCAGTGTGGGCTGGTTTCTAGGACAGCAGTTCTGCTCTGTGACACCATCTCTCCCCTACTTGGTCTCAGGGGGAGGCCCTCAGCCCAGGTCTACCCCCATCCAGTTCGCACTCAGCATCCAGGGACAGTCCATCTAGTCTGATGGGTTTACGTCAGCTCTTCCCATATATACTTCTACCGCACTTGAGGTTCCCTTTGCCATCAACGCCACAGACTCAAACGCCTAGGAGAACAGTGCAGGAGTTCTGTCAGTGACCAAGTGCAGTGCCTATGCCCGGTGTGGTAAGGCAGTCCTTGCTCAGCTCTAGCCAGGGCAGCCATGCCAAAATGCAGGTTTACTTTTGCCAGATCTTATAATTCTTGAAAAGAAACTGGCAATTAAGAATTTTTTGGTAAACTCTCTCAAATTTTTATTTCCCGGTTGTTTTTTTATTTAGAGGCAGGGTCTCACTATGTTGCCCAGGCTGGTCTTGAACTCTTGGTCTCAAGAAATCCTTCTGCCTCAGACTCCCTGTAGCTAGGATTAGAGGTGCAATCCACCCACCATGCCTGGTAACTCAATTTTTTGTATGTTTATGTTTTTTTGGTGGTTTTCAAATTTTGTTTTGTTTTTTGTTTGACACAGGATTTCACTCTGTCACCCAAGTTGGAGTGCAGTGCTGCAATCACAGCTCACTGCAGCCTTGACATTCCATTGCTCAGGTGTTTCTCCCACCTCAGCCTCCTGAGTAGCTGGGACTACTGGTATACACTACCATGACAGTTATTTTTTGTAAAGACAGGGTTTTGCCATGTTGCTCAGGCTGGTCTGCAACTCCTGGTCTCAAGTAATCCACCCGCCTTGGCCTCCCAAAGTGGCTGGGATTACAGGCATGAGCAACCATGCCCATCAACTGTCAATTTTTAAAGTATAGATTAAATGCTTTTAAAACACTGGTCAAGTGAAAGTGAAGTGTCAGGCTGGATTTGGCCTCTAGGTTGGTCATTTCCCGGCTCTGTTCTAGGTTTCATGGGAGAATCATCCAAAAAAAAAAAAAAGATGGGGAGGGAATAGTTCATAGGTCCATAGTCAAATACATCTGGAACTGCTGCACATTATACCCCTCTTAGATATTTGCATTAGTACCTTACAGTCTTGTAGTTTTAAAACCACATGCACAAACAAATGTCTGTTTAATTCAGCGTTCCCCAAGTTTATTTAACCATCTAATTCATCCTTGTTGAATACATTTTTGTCATTGACATTTTCCTTATGACTCTAACCTCAGAGGTGGACAAAGTTGTCAAACATCTGTAAGAATTTAGGTCCCAACAGGAAGATTATGAAAATGATTCAGTATAGAATGAAACAGAAAATAGATAGTTGAGTTTAATCCACCAATGCAGCACATGAGGTAGGAGCTACCCACCTGTGGGGTCTGGGATGACACAGTAATAGTTTAACAATTATCTCTTAACCTTGGAAAGATTTAGTGTTAAAAACAGAAATGCTTAAGAGACTCAAACCCTCCGGTATTAATATTTTTTGTCTTGATGAACTTGTATGAAATTTGTATTTCAATGTACTTGTCATGTGAAGAGAATTTGGCATATTAAAGTAACAAAATAGTTTTGTGACTCTAATTTAAAATGAAAAATCGGATAATTTAGATTTGTGATTTTAAGTTGAAGTTTTGTTGTTTTAAAATAGCACTGAATTAAATGTATTTAAAAGAGCTTAAGGTTCACCCTTGTCTATATGTTTAAATCATTATATTTGTAAGAATTACTAGTATTCTGGAAGCATTTTTGTTATCAAATAAAGTTTTTTAAAAGGAAATGAAACAAATAATAAATGCAGTTTAAAATGGTTAAAAAGCTTTCCTTAAGCTTTGAATGGGATCAAACATTAATCCTTAAAAATTATTGTCTAAAATAGGAGGCCGGGCATGGTGGCTCATGCCTGTTATCCCAACAGTTTGGCAGACCAAGGAGGGCAGATCATGTGAGGTCAGGAGTTTGAGACCAGCCTGGCCAACATGGCGAAACCCTGTCTCTACTAAAAATACAAAAATTAGCTGGGTGTGATGGCAGACGTCTGTAATCCCCACTACTCAGAAGGCTGAAGCAGGAGAATCGCTTGGACCCAGGAAGCAGAGGTTGCAGTGAGCCAAGATCGCGCCACTGCACTCCAGCCTGGGTGACAGAGCAAGACTGTGTCAAAATAATACACAATAAATAAAATAAAATAAAACAAATTCCCATCCCCATGTTGGCCAGGCTGGTCTTCAACTCCTGACCTCAGTTGATCTGCCCACTTCAGCTTCCCAAAGTGCTGGGAATACAGCCATGAACCACCATGCCTGGCCAAGAGGAGTTTAAATTAAACAAGATTAGCCATGAGCTGGGAATTTTTTATGCTAGGTGATGAGTACATGAGGGTTGTAATGTTCTATAAACAATTTTTGTGTATATCTAAAATTGCTTATAATACAATTTTTAAAATAATTGTTAAAATTAACCACATCAAAAAATATAATATTTGTAATAAAATGTTACTCATTTTACAACAGGCAACAGTGCTCATTAAATGCGTGCATGACTGACTGAATGAATGAATGACACAACATGACAACTCTGTAAAGTGAGGTATTGTCATTCCCTTTTCACAGATACCAAAACCAAAACCAAAACTAAAACCATCTGAAGTTAAGGCAGTTGCCCTGGATTTCTTGACTGTTAGCTCCATGAAGGTGAAAACTGTGTATTTAAGTAAACATTACAACATGTGAAACCATGAATTTCAAAGATCTGAAGAAGAGAATGAAGTCATATCCCAATAGAAACATTGCAGAAACCCAAGTTAGAAAATTTTAATCTCATTTATAATTCATTCCCAAAACACAAATCTTCCCATCTTCTCTGAGGACCTATGCCTGCCTCCAAACAAAAGGGATAGCATTAAGATACTGAATGGAATCATGCATTGAATCACAAGAAGGTGGACCTGAGCAGCCAAACAAAATGTATTCTTCATCTGCTCAGAAATAACTAATTGAAGAAACAGTGCAGGAACACTCATACCCGTTTGCAGCTCATGGTTTATTTTTAGGGCATTAAAAATATTTGTAAGTCAGGCCGGGCGCGGTGGCTCAAGCCTGTAATCCCAGCACTTTGGAAGGCCGAGACGGGCGGATCACGAGGTCAGGAGATCGAGACCATCCTGGTTAACACAGTGAAACCCCGTCTCTACTAAAAAAATACAAAAAATTAGCCGGGCGAGGTGGCGGGCGCCTGTAGTCCCAGCTACTCGGGAGGCTGAGGCAGGAGAATGGCGGGAACCCGGGAGGCGGAGCTTGCAGTGAGCCGAGATCTGGCCACTGCACCCCAGCCTGGGCGACAGAGCGAGACTCCGCCTCAAAAAAAAAAAAAAAAAAAAAAAATTTGTAAGTCAAAGCAGAAACTGCTCTTTTGCTGCCTTGTAACTTTATTCAGCTCTAATGTAGTGTGCACACTAAGAAGCCGAGAACACTTGAGTGATGCCCTTAGCGGATGTTAGAAAAACCTTGTTTTCTGTTTGAGCAAAACTCAAGAAAGTCTATCAGGGTAACAGGCCACAAAGCTATGGCCATGGATAAGGAAAAGAGTGTTGTAGAACAAAAGCTCTTAGTTTTATAATCATAAAACGTTCCAGTGGATTTGAAACCTTTATTAGGAGCCTCTCATACCTGGTAAGTGATCCCTTCACACAGAATAAGCAATCCATCTGATAATTTTTAAATATTTACCCAGCACTGGAGGTAAGTGAGAGGTGGCAGTTGTTAGGGACAAGAGGAAGGTTAAGTTTTTTTTGTTTTTTTTTTTAAATGTCACTGTTGCCTTAGAAGAAGGAAAGAAAATAACAGGCAGGTTCTTTTACATCGACCACCTAAAAGTCGCACTGTAAGAAGCAACAACCTCTCCTCCTTGTCTCCGCCATCTGCTCAGCAGCCGTGAAGCAGCAATCATGCGTGAGTGCATCTCCATCACATTGGCCAGGCTGGTGTCCAGGTTGGCAATGCCTGTTGGGAGGCCTACTGCTTGGAACATGGCATCCAGCCCAATGGCCAGATGCCAAGTGACAAGACCACTCGGGGAGGAGATGACTCCTTCAACAGCTTCTTCAGTGAGACGGGCTCCGGCAAGCACGTGCCCAGGGCAGTGTTTCTAGATCTGGAACCCATGGTAATTGATGATGAAGTTTGCACTGGCACCTGCCACCAGCTCTCCCACCCTGAGCAGCTCATCACAGGCAAGGAAGATGCTGCCAGTAACTATGCTATTGGCCAGGAGATCACTGACCTCGTTTTGGACCAAATTTGTAAACTGGCTGACCAGTGCATGGTTCTCCAGGGCTTCTTGGTTTTCCACAGCTCTGGTGAAGGAATTGTTTCTGGGTTCACCTCCCTGCTCATGGAACAACTCCCAGTTGATGATGGCAAGAAGTCCAAGCTGGAGTTCTCCATTAAGTCAGCACCCCAGGTTTCCACAGCTGTAGTTGAGTCCTACAACTCCATCCTCACCACCCAGTGAGGACATGACTGCCCTTGAGAAGGATTATAAGGAGGTTGGTGTGGATCCTGTTGAAGGAGAAGGTGAGGAAGAAAGAGAGGAATACTAAAGTAAAAATGTCACAAAGGTGCTGCTTTTACAGGGAAGCTTATTCTGTTTTAAACATTGAAAAGTTGTGGTCTGATCAGTTAATTTGTATGTAGCAGTGTATGCTCTAATATACAATTACTGACCTATGCTTTAAAACATGACTGATTTTGCAGACCCAAACTGTCCGTTTCTGTGATGAGTTTTGAATAAAGTATCCCCTGTCTTTAAAAATAATAATAATAATAATAAATATTTTTAAAAAGTGAACAAATATGCAGTAACAATCTGAACAGAATAAATAATACTTTTTAAAAATCTTCATATATATGGAAATTTAATATGTAATAAAGATGGCATTTCAGACCACTGGGAAAAGGTAAATGATTCAATATTATGACGCTTGTAGGGGCTAAACCAAGAGACGGCTTTAGCTCTCGCACCACCACAAATTCTTCAGTAGCCCTCATTCTTTGATATAGATAAGAAAATTATATATCTATAAATATAGATATATAGATATAGATAGATAAAGAGAGAAATAGAGTTTCACTCTGTCACTCAGGCTGGACTGCAGTAATGAGAGGATGGCTCACTGCAGCCTTGAAATCCTGAACCCAAGCAATCCACCCAACTCAGTCTCCTGAGTAGCTGGAACAACAAACTTGTGCCAACATGCCCAGCTAATTTTTTATTTTTGTAGAGATGGGGTCTCACTATGTCGCCCAGGCTGGTGTTGAACTCCTGAGCTCAAGTGATCCCCCTGCCTCAGGCTCTCAAAGTCCTGGGATCATAGGTGTGAGCCACAGCAACCAGCCAAGAAAACAATATATTTTTTTATTAGTGTAAAGTGCCATGCAAATACAGAGGCTCATGCCTCTTCTTGTAATATTACTATTCCAAGACACACCCATATAGAAAAGCTGGAGTCACTACTGGGTGTCAGGACAGACCATGTGCATATGTATGTAGTGTGTACTTGTACACGCACCAAAAAAAGCTCTGGTAAAATGTAGGTTGAACTAGTGGGTGACAAATGGGGAGGGAGTGTGAGGTACAGAATTTTGGAGGAGTGAAAATGAGTGTGATAGGGGTTGTTAGTTGTCCCCGTTCATCTGTTCTTTCTTCTATAGCAGTGGTTCTCAGCCTTAACCTACATGAAAATCACCAGACAGCCTTCAAAAAATGCAGAAGTCTAGGCCCTGCTCCCCAAATACTGTGATTGAATTGGCCTGTGGAGTGGGAGGTGTCTATTTGTTTAAGTTTTCCAGGTGATTCTGTTGTGCAGCCAAATTTGAAAACCACTATTCTATAACAGAGAAGTTTTAGCTGGGCACATTGCTATCCAGCTGAGGACTGTATTTCCCAGTTTTGGCTATAGCTTAGTTTGGCCATGTATCTGAGTTCCAGTCATGGGCTGTGAGCAGAAGTGACACATTTGACTTCCATGTTGTGACCTTAAAAAAAGAAGCATGACCTCCCGCCCCTTCCTTCTTCCCATCTTCTTGCTAGCTAGAATGTGGACACAGTGGGGTAAATGGAAACAGCCACCTTGGACCAAGATGGAAGCCATGTGCTGAGAATTGCAGAGCCACAGAGAAAGAGCCTAAACTCATCACTACACAGTCATCAGATCAATCCAGGATTGCTACCTTGCATATTATGACCTGAGAGATATGATTCTATCTTCTTTAAGCCTTTCTTGTTTCAACCTTTGTTATGGCAACCTAATGTCTGTGCAAGAGGGCTTTCATTTCTTACTCCATTTGTTTCTGGGTTGTTTGAATGTTTTATAACATGTATAATTAGTTTTATAACTTGAAATTTATATGTAATCAGTATATGTTTATCTATAGGTAAAGATAGAGATATTTCAAGGGAAGTACTCATTCTTTAAAAAAAAAAAAAAAAAAAAGGCTAAAATTAGGCTGGGCCCAGTGGCTCACGCCTGTAATCCCAGCACTTTGGGAGACCAAGACGGGTGAATCACGAGGTCAGGAGTTCGAGACCCTGGCCAACATAGTGAAACCCTGTCTCTACCAAAAATACAAAAATTAGTTGGGCATGGTGGCATGAGCCTGTAGTCCCAGCTACTTGGGAGGCTGAGGCAGAAGAATCACTTGAACCCAGGAGGCAGAGGTTGTGGTAAGCTGAGATTGTGCCACTGCACTCCAGCCTGGGCAACAGAGCAAGACTCCATCTCAAAAAAAAAAAAAGGCTAAAGTTTAAAAAAGAAAAAAAAAGATACAGATATAGGTTGATATTGATAAATATGTATAAATAGAGACAAATTTTATCTGTCTTGTCTACATCTATCTGTATAGCCTATAGAGATTTAGATAGGTAGATATAAAGTACAGTGGACCAATGACAGAGTCCTGATTTTAGTTTTCTGATACGTCAAAATATTTCCAATTATTTATACCTTCAGGCAAATTAAATTAAAGAATCTTTTTTTTTCTTTTTTTTTCTTTTTGAGATGGAGTTTTGCTCTTGTAGCCCAGGTTGGAGTGCAATGGCACGATCTCAGCTCACTGCAACCTCCACCTCCCGGTTCAAGTGATTCTCCTGCCTCAGCCTCCCGCATAGCTGGGATTACAGGCTCCTGCCACCACACCCAGCTAATTTTTGTATTTTCAGTAGAGACAGGGTTTCTCCATGTTGGCCAGGCTAGCCTTGAACTCCTGACCTCAGGTGATTCACCTGCCTCGGCCTCCCAAAGTGCTGGAATTACAGGCATGAGCCACCACGACCGGCCCAAGAATCTTTGTTGAGGACTGGTCATGTTAAAGAAACTAAGGTGAAGCAAGTAAGTGTGTCATTGTTTTAAAAAGTACTACATTCACTTGTGAGTAGCAAATTAATTTCAACAAAACAATATCATCTACACTTTCGTGTAATACTGTTAATCTAAATTTCATTGGTTTGAAGGTTTTTTTTGTACTTAACTCAGTAAAATTTGTTTTGCTTTATATGTATACAAGCTTTAAGGAAAATAAAGTTAATTAATTAATTAATTAATTTTGAGACAGGGTCTCATTCTGTCACCCAGGCTGGAGTACAGTGGAATGATCTCAGTTCACTGCACCCTCCACCTCCTGGTCTCGAGAGAGCCTCCCACCTCAGCCTTCCAAGTATGTGGGACCAAAGATGCGCTCTGCCACATCTAGCTGATTTGGGGGTTTTTTTTCATAGAGACAGGGTTTTGCCATTTTGGCCAGGCTGGTCTTGAACTCTTGGGCTCAAGTAATCTGCCTGCTGCGGCCTCCCAAAGCGCTGGGATTACCGGAGTTAGCCACAGCACCTGGTTGGAAAAATACATTTAAATTGGAGTTTTATATTTGTACATTTTTAGTATCTTTAACATAAAATTTTTGTTTATATTTATTTATAATAAAATAGGTCTCGGCCTGGCACGGTGGCTCACGCCTGTAATCCCAGGACTTTGGGAGGCCGAAGGGGGCGGATCACAAGGTCAGGAGATCGAGGTCATCCTGGCTAATATAGTAAAACCCTGTCTCTACTAAAACTACAAAAAATTAGCTGGGTGTGGTGGCGGGCACCTGTAGTCTCAGCTACTCAGGAGGCTGAGGCAGGAGAATGGCATGAACCCAGGAGGCAGAGGTTGCAGTGAGCCAAGATTGTGCCACTGCACTCCAGCCTGGGTGACTGGAGTCAAGAAAAAAAAAAAAAGGTCTCAACCAAGGAGTTATGAGAATTTTAGTCCTTTAAAAGTTATCAGTAGATGACACAGTTTTAAGAATCTCTGCTTTTGAGGGAGATTTCCCCAAATTAAACAACCAAGTGAGGTCATGGAATAATACAGACTCAGGGTCAGAACAAAATTACAGTCTCAGCTTTCCCACAAAATGTCTTTGTGACCTTAAGCCAGTCTTTTCCACTCTCTGGGTTCAGTATCTTTACTGGCAAGTGAGAGTGTTGGACCCTAGTATGTTTACAGATCATTCCAGCCCTGCCCTTCTGAAATCCTGGATTAGACAATACGGGGTGAATTCCAAAACATTTGTGCAAAAAAAACCACTTAAATCCAAGTGTCACATTGCCCCCTTCTGGACCTTTGTAGTATCCACATGGATGAGATTGATAAAATCCATAAAAATAATAAAAACTCATAATAAATCACAAATATAAAAAATCCATAATGAACCCTAGATGGACTTGTGAAATAGCATAGCCCAATTCCCTTTCTCCCCTGAGATAACCTAGAAAGTCACATTTGAAGGTGCTCTACTAGAAGCGTTAGAGGACAACCCAGGAAAGGAAAAAGGGCAAAGGGTAGTAAAGTTGTAGGAAACACAGGGATGTGGAAGGCGGGCTGAATTCAAGAGAGTTTTACACAGTTCTATCTCCAGCTATTCCCCCAGTATAAGAAATATTGTTAGCTATCTATTATCAAGTGCCTATTATGTGCCAAGAACCAGTTCTTTTATTTTATTTTTTATTTTTATTTATTTATTTATTGAGACAGAGTCTTGCTCTGTCTCCAGGCTGGAGTACAATGGCGTGATCTCGGCTCACCGCAACCACCACCACCCAGGTTCAAGCAATTCTCCTGCCGCTGCCTCCCAAGTAGCTGGGATTATAGGCATGCGCCACTACTCCCTGCTAATTTTGCATTTTTAGTAGAAACAGGATTTCTCCATGTTGGTCAGGCTTGTCTTGAACTCCTGACCTCAGGGGATCCGCTTTCCTCAGCCTCTCAAAGTGCTGGGATTACAGGTGCGAGCCACCACGCCCGATGAACAAATTCTTTTAAAATCCTCCCAGCGACTCTTCCAGTCAGGCACGAATTATCTGTGCCCCAAATGGAACCTGCTTATTCTCACAATCTTGACTCTTTTCCACTCAGTCCAAGTAGTCCCCATACTATGAGGATGGCTCCTGCCCCCACTGCCTTCTAGAGGCCTTCTTTGACTACTTCAGACTACTTTGACTACTACACTCACATTTCCCTCTGCTATTATCCTGTGCCACTTGAGATCTGTATCCCATAATCTGGTCCTTGATTTCATATCTTTCTAACTCATTTGTGTGAGTTAAGCCTCCTCACAAGTTGTTCTTGAGAGCAGGTTCCATGCACTGAGGGCTTCATCCACCCACTCTACCTGCCATCACAGGCATCATGCTGAGTGCATTATACTTGACACTCAGAAGATGACTTTATCTTCACTATGTCCTCCATCTAGTTCCTCTTTAGGAAAAACTACCAT